TTTTCCCAAATAAAAAAAATTATTGCTAAAGCTTAAAATGCACCTAATTCATATCAAAAAAGTTTACGTACACCAATGATTATTTAAATAAATTCAAAGTAATTGYAATAGTTTGAGCGGTTTTTGGGCTATATTTTGTTGCAATTATTGTCTCTAGACGTCGACGTATGCTTCCCACTCGATTTCTTGTATTATTTSCAGATATTTTGAACCTCTAAGTTGACGACCCAGATTTTTGGCCTTATTTCGARGAAATTTGATGTTTTCGAATACGTTTTTCCAAATAACTCCAGATATTTTGAATAGTATTAATATCTAGTGATTGCGGGATCTATGGAGCTATTTTTATTTCCATAACGACCATTTACATAGAAGATATGACGTGTGTTTTGGGTAGGTCTCTTATACACATCTAGATGTGTATAAGAGACAGATATATAATATATTAACAAAATATAAATAAACCGATATATTGATTCAAATGGGTGAAGCTCATCTAAATATCTCATAAATTTATAATGATGTGATAGCATACATTATTTTTGCTCTATTCAGTTTAGTATTGATGGATACATAAGGATTTAGAAAAATGATTCAATCCGTTTTAAACATATAAATCCATTGAATTTATCGCAAAGTAAAACAATGTTATGGTATCCTAGTAAATAACGTGCTTCGCACAAATATGCAAATTCTGGAGAATAAGGTCAGCATTCGATTTCTTTGAATTATATTTCTTATCCTTAACAAAAAATTTGCGGTTTTAATATTTAAGGAGGTGGAAAACAGTGTAAAAATGGAAAAGCGAAATGCCAAAAATGCAAAAATGCTGAATGCGCTGCTTAGGAATCAATGTAGCAGTAGTTTCTAATGTTATTGTTATTGCTATTGTTGCTGTTTCTCTGTCGGTTGGCCATTATTGCTACTATTATTGTTACTTTACTTGTTTTTGCTGGTAGGAACAGCCGCATTTGCAATAATGCGAAATTGGCAGCGATTGCGAAAATGTTATTCTTTCTTTCGAGGCGGCTGCCTTTTTCACTTCAGCGCCCAAAAGCAGACGAGGACTCGCACTCACTAGTATTTGTCCATATGAATCTGTGCAATGTGTACACGCATTAACGGTGATGTGCACAAGCGACCGTTTGCAAGCTACGATGCTTGATTGGGCGAATTCGGCGATAAAGGCGTATCGTAGGCGGCGGGGCATTTGGGCCTATTATCTGTAAAAACAATAGAAATATGCAGAGCGAGTCAGATCTGCAATTTTTTATTCCTGCTTCAACCATTGCTTAATTTATGTGATATGTTTTAGTTTTGTAATTTTCCCAATATATTTAGCYTTGCAACAACAATGTGCTATGTTGTGTCTTTATAGCGAATAATGCGAGCAGTGCAGTGMAAACAAAGGAAGCGAGATGCGAACATGAAACACATTCAATTCGTATACTTAACGGTTATTGCGCACTCTCACATACCGTAATTTCATATATGCAATTGTAATTTGTTTGCTTTGAGTGTCTCTATTACTACTCACGTCGAAATTAATATTCTAACTTTGCGTTCACTTACTTTTATTTTCTTAATTTTTACTCTCTAATTCAAGTTGACTGTAGAAATTTTTCGAAATTCAATAACTGCTCAAACATTACTTCGTTAGCAGCTTATAGTTGGCAGCCGTGTATTTGTCGTAAATTGATGTGCGTAAGGGTGGAGGGTGCTTCATTTTTAGGCTGTTGCTATATCCTGAACAGGCAGGTTAAGTTTGCCACGAAGTTTGTAACAYCCAGAAGGAAACCCTCTTAAATATATATATACATTTATGTATACAAATGATGCCGATTTAGCCAGACCGGGTGTCCGTCCATCCGCATATACTCGAATTAGACTATCAGCTTTCGAGATATTGTTCTGAAATTTTGCACACGTTTTTTTCTTTCCAAGGAGCTGCTTATTTGTCATTATTGTAACATACAGCTGCCATACAAACTGGAARTTCAAAATTATGGTCTTGCGTACAAAATATGTTTCGTATAATGATATGAGAGTGAACACAGGTGAAACTGTTTAGTAAAATATTAAAGTTTTCAAGTTATCCATTAAGCCAACAAGAGGTTGGGCGGTTCGGTTACACCAATCTGAAAATCATTATATACTTACGAACAATCGTTAGGTTTAAAATATATTACAAAATCGTTCAAAATATTTAGGGCAGAAATCGGACATTTTAGAGCCCTAGGATTCGAAAATAAGGCCTTAGAATCACCAAAGTCTACTACATTCTTTTCAAAAATTCTTTTAAATAAAAATGTTCAAGGGTATTTTGACGTTAACAAAGATATTTTGCATATTTTGTTTTGGTGAAAGCATTAATGTATTTTGCCATGAATGAGATCCTTGCTGGTTGTTAACTAACATTTCTACCCACATATATACGTATTTGCATACTTGTGTGAAACATATACACAGACATTTTTTTCACAACACAAGCATATCAATTCGAGGTCGTTTCAAAGCTTATGGCGACCAGCTGTCGTTGAATATGCTTTTGTCGTTACAAGGGACCATGCGGACATGTAATTATCAGTTGTTGGGTAGCCAACAAAGGATTCCAATGTAATGCTAACGCGTATAATCAAACGACGAAACAAGAGAAAAACGAAAACCAAAACACAGGCAATAGTGTTGGAATGATAATGTGCGGACATAGCCACACTAACCACCAGGCATTTTTTATTTATGTGCGTGCATGTATGTGCTTGCGTACATACASTGTGCGACAAAACTAAAGCACGAAATGGTTTTATAATAGTTTCAATATTTGGTTGCGTATCCCTCATTTTTCAATACRGTTGCACATCGGCGAAGCATGGACTCAACTAATTTATTTGAYGTGTCGCAGGAAATGCTTTTCCATGCTACCTTTACTTGTAGGAATAAAAAGTCCTTATTTTTACAATTCTCACGTCTGATTTTTCGATCTAYAATTTCCTATTGGTTCCCTTTGCGGTTGAGATCTGGTGATTGTGTGAGTCATCTCAAAATCTCAATATTGTTATCAACAAACCACTGCTTTACTCAAATAGCAGTGTGTTTCTGGTCGTTGTCATGTTGATAACTCCATTTTAAAGTWATTTCTTCTGCAGCGGCAGCATAATATTCTGAAAAATTTATTTATGYTTATATTTGTTCATTATACTTTTTATATAATGAATTCCCTGAAAAACAACCCTACACTAGTATACTGTCTCCACCATGTTTCATCGCCCTTGTTTTATAACGTTGATTTGGGCGTTGTTCTTTCAGACTGCCTACCAGCTTAAGCCCATATACATATATCTTTGATATTACACATCGATTCGCCAGAAAAACGCACAGTTTTCCATTTGGTAATAGTCCAATTTATGTGTATCCTCACAAATTCCAGTCGCGTCAGTCTGTTCTTTAAAGAAATATACCACATATTTATTAAAAACCGTTAGACACAATTACTGTGCAATAAATGTGAATTCTTAGTTATGTGTTTTAGTTTTGTCGTAATAAATTTTAGGAGTTCTTCATATACGGAATTTTACTTATTATTTTAATAAGTTAATTTGTTTAATGTTTACTAATTTTAAAAGAAGAATACATGAACTAATAGTACAAATTAATAATATATACTTTATGATTTTATTCAGTTAAATACCGACAAGGTAGATTCCGTGCTTTAGATTTGTCGCACACTGTATGTGAGTTTGGAAACGTCGCCAACAAATTGCGTTCACCACGAACGCCAATATTCATGCTGGACAATGCTTCCACGCACACCACGGTGATCGATGCAAAAAATATTGTGGGCATCGATGTGGGAAGTGTTGTTACGAGCTTAGAAAATGTGGCTTCTGGTGTTAAGGCCGCCATTTAGTATGGTTTATGTGAACCCCAAAGACCACATCACCACACATATCGTAGGCCTTTGACTTGGTAACCTCACACAGGAACAACGGTTACTGTCGTTGGTCAGTTAGTAGCGGACTTCTCAAATTGAAATCGTGTAGAGGTGTCGGTCTCTTTACTTACACCATAATGTCATACGTATCGCTAATCCGTGGCCAACGCAATTTACCCAATAATCGATGATTTAAAATGCCGCAAAATATTAAAAACGATTAGACATTGCGCAAAGCCATGTAATCATGCAATACAAATTTTGTTCGATTTAGAAAATTAATTTAAACTAATTTAATGAAATTGAATTAGGAAGTCCATCTATGTACTATATAAAGTTYTAGTAGATTTTCGTAACCGTCGGCTATCGATAGCATACATCCCTATTCATGTATAGTATTATCATTCTTGTATTTGAATGCTGTTTAAACAAAACAAATTCGATGTAAAATTTGTTTATTGTATTATCTAATTATTTCGTTTGGCACAAAACTCAAAAGATTCATTCAGTTAATTAAACAGGACGAATTGGCTAGAATTAGACGTCCARTTAGATTTTAACAGGCCCAAAACACTTTGACGATACATGATGGTCATTTGGTGATGGTGTTATCATTCTTTTACTGAGGACTGCTGCACCGGTCTACAGAAATTTGTGTTACGAGTATATACATTTGCATAAGCTTTCTACTATTGCAAACCTGTCCATAATCAAATTATGAGCCAGAACCTATTTCAAGCCACGAACTAAATATGGAAATTTCTTTTCTTGTTGTAAACACATAATTACGTCGGCATTGTCACTGCTTCAACCAATCTGACATTTTTTTATAATCGCCAACTTCTTAATTGGGCTGTCAGTGTCATCAACAGAGCCCACTAAAATAAAGCACACCCACCGTCTCATTCTCTTTTCAGTTTGCAGTGTCGGAAAGGTATTGTGGCATGCAAAATTCTCTCCCCCACATACTGTTTCTTCTATTTGTACGCATACTTTTATTTCGCCCAGCTTCGAGTTTAACTCGAAATTGCCGAGCATTTAATAGTGAACGTTATCTCTTCTCTTGCAGGTGTCTCGGCTGAGTTGTATTATGTGAGGGATGGCCAGGTTAACGATTATGCGCTTAATTTTGCCGTTCCTGTGCCGGCGAACGTCAACGAGATCTCCTTTACGTGGCAGAGTCTAGCCCATCATCCGCTCCCATACAGTGTCAACATTATTACATCAGAGCCATTCGTACTGCCACGGCCAATGTTGAATATTTCACGCATCGGCGAAATTCCGCTGGAGCCACAAACTTTCGCTGTCAGTTTAAAATGCTCTGGCACACGAGACGCCGAAGTTGAGGTCACCATCGCCATCGAAATAATACTGGATCGAAAGACGAATAACATAACAGATTTGATGTTCAAACGCAAAAAAATTTGTCTTGCAGGCCCACAGGAAGACGGACGCCATGCGAATATCGGTAGTGGTGTTGGCAATTCGAACAAACATATTAACCAACCGATAGAGGGTATTTTGGAAGATGTTACTGGTGGTCATGTAGTGCATGAAAACGAGGGGATTAAGTTCAGTGAGGACGGCATAAGTCCACATGCAACTAGTAGTGATGAAGAGCATATGAGGGATGAAAATTTGTTGGGCGGTGGTCGTTTGAGCGGTCCAGGCACTATTTTGCACGATTTTGATCCCATGCTAAAGGAGACACTTGCGCCACCCACCAGCGGTGTAACCACACTCATAATTGGCGGTATACTGGCACTGATACTGGTCGTTACACTAATTGTAATTGCTTACTGCGCTAAGGGACCAACGAAGCGGCAAAATCACGGGGTACATCTGATTAAAACATCGAGCTTTCAGCGCTTACCTACAATATCATCGACAGCTCACAATTCCATCTATGTTTGTCCCTCTGTTATCACGCCCACTTATGCAACACTCACACGACCTTTCCGAGAGTACGAACAGGAACCGGAGGAATTTAATCGTCGTCTGAGTGAATTGACTGTACAAAAGTGTCGTGTTCGATTATCAAGTTTGGTGCAAGAGGGCACATATGGCCGCATCTATAAGGGTACTTACAATGACAGCCAAGAGGTACTGGTGAAAACTGTCGCTCAACATGCCAGTCAAATCCAAGTGTCGCTTTTGCTGCAAGAAGGTATGATGCTATACAATGCGGCACATCCCAACGTACTCTCTGTCTTAGGCGTTACAATCGAGGATTTTACCACACCATTTTTGCTCTATCCAGCGGCCAAGAATACACGAAATTTGAAGCTGTTCTTACAAGAACCAGCATTTGCGAGAAGCGTTACCACCATCCAGACAGTGCTAATGTCCTCGCAACTGGCAATGGCCATGGAACACTTACATAATCACGGTGTAATCCATAAGGATGTTGCGGCCAGGAACTGTGTGTAAGTAGTTGCATACATTTTAATAAGAAGAATTATTGTCACATATGTCCATATGTATATTATCTTTACGTATACACTTTTGTAATCGTTAGAAGTAGGAAAATACGATAAAGAATTCTATGAAGTTTCAATGTRTTTTTCCAACATACCATATAAAGCTTAGCTCAGAACTACGTATGAAATTGAAATAGTTGATTTAGTCTGGATTGAAAAGTTTCAACATTCTGAAAAGTTGTCTTTATTTTATTAGAAACGTCGTACGTATAATAAACATAAAGCTTTATATTTTCGAGTTTGGAGCTTCGAGCAGTAAAACAAACATAAATTTAAATTTTTGCTGGTCYTGTTAGGCACTTTGAGTATTAGTATAGTAGGCAATAATTGTCATAATAATGGAAACAAACATATTTCTTTCGTTTTCTCTCCTTCATTAGTATCGATGACCAACTGCGCGTCAAACTTACCGATAGTTCGTTGAGTCGTGATTTATTCTCAGGCGATTATAATTGCTTAGGCGATGGTGAAAATCGGCCCATTAAATGGATGTCACTTGAGACTATACAACAGAAGCACTACAACGAGGGTAGCGAYGTGTGGTCCTTCGGTGTTCTAATGTGGGAGATGTGCACACTAGGTAAACTACCTTACGCCGAGATCGACCCATATGAAATGGAGCATTACTTGAAGGATGGCTACCGTCTGGCACAACCCTATAACTGTCCAGATGAATTGTAAGTGAAGGATCGAACCYTTGAAACATTTATTTCTCATAATTTTATTTTTCAAAAGTTATTTTTAATGTTTAGTGTCACACAAGTTAACTTTATTGCGAATTTTTCTTTTTGTTTTTTGTAGATTCACCATTATGGCCTACTGCTGGGCAGTATTACCGACTGAACGTCCCTCATTTAGCCAATTGCAAATATGCCTTTCTGAGTTCCAYACGCAAATCACAAGATATGTCTAAGATTCTGAGGTAAACTGGAATAGGTAGACTTCATAATGTAAAAATTGSCGTTGTTGTACATAAATAGAAGTGAAGAGTTCTTCATATGAACGTATTACAACCCTAAGAACCCAAAGACAGATAATTAAGTGAAAAGTAGATATATTCTTACGCATGTACACATATGTATGTATATGCACCTATATGTATATRGAAGCAGGTCAATACTCTATAAGAGGTATTTTTAGACATGTGGTTTTCAAAAAGAATGCAACACATTCAATTTTCTATACCGTTATGGCCAAGAATTTAGTTTTATTAAAAATACTTGTATAAGTGTTTGCCATTATATTTTAAATATGATTTCARGCAAGTGACCGCCGCGGTTGGCTCAAAGAAATTGCAGCCGAGAGGCCAAACTTCCGACTATCTTTTGAAGCAGGTCGTATGTTAGCAATAACGTATCGAATATTCTCTTCCAAGGCGTCACATATTTTGACCAGGATCCCTACTTTTGTGCATCACCTCACGAAAGCTTTACTTCGATGATTATTATTTTTTATTATTTTCAATATAAATAATGGTTGTGTAAATGTAAAATAAAAAACAACCAAAATGATTTTATTTAATATTTATCAATATTGTTGCCATCTTTATCTGTTACTAGGATACTTTTGAACTTCAGCAACACCATCATCGTAATCYTCATCAGTATCACAGCCCTTAATTATACATTCATCACATATGATTGAGTCAACAAATTGATTTGGTAAATTTTAAATGTTCTTTTTTTTGGCAATCTTCACATTCTTGAAATAATGGGATATGAAATTAACAAAAGACAATTCAGAATCATGTTTTGATTTACATTTTCTTCAATGAAATTCCCGATATTTTTATAGATTTTTTGTTTCCTCCTTGTTGGCCAATATGCAAAAGARATTTTTCGATAATTTCTGGTCCGTGTATGAAACATATATTATATTATACAAAGTCGGGAGAATGTTTTACGATGGATATGACTTAACAAAAGTGTTGCTTTATGTTCAAGTGTCAAAATTTCTTGTTATTGAGATCATACCCATTAGACACTAGAATTAATAGTATATGCTTTTAATTTATTAAATTTAAATTTATTAAGGTTATTTAACATGCTTTTCTGCGGGGTAAGAAAAAAACTTATGGCGGTATTACCGTTGTTTGAATTCAACTATTAACCCTAAAGTATCGTTTAAAGTTGCTTCTGAATTTTTTTATGGACCTTATTTCATTKTTTCTTTTACTCAAAATCAATATTAGCTCTTATTTTTATTTTTGTTKTTAATCCATTCGAGAAATGAGCCCCACTGTGCCTCAATCGTCTTGAGTTAATCTGCCTATCAAACGACTCCACATAACCCGCACAAAAAATAATCCAACGGTGTAAAATCTCGTCTTGTTGGAACTAAAGGTCGTGTACATCAACATTCTCCAATTTAGGCACGAAAAAGTCATTAATCAAAACAGCTATTCCCCATTGGCTGAAATATTATGGTTGGTTTCAATTCTGAAGAACTATGGATCAATTATAGCCTCTGGCCATAGAGTGACTTTTTGACGATTTATCGGTGTCACAAAAATACCTTGTGGATTATTATCTATAATAATGCGACAATTGTGATTCCATTCAACCAAAAGTGTGCGTCATCGCTGAAATTTTTTTGCGTCGCGTGAATCGAATTACTAATTTGGTAATACATTTGCACGATTTGCAAACGTTGTTCCGGAGTAAATCGGTTCATTATCATATTTATAATTCGAACATCTGTCTACAATGTCAACTCCGAGAAATGTATTTCCTCATTGAACCACACGTCTAAAAACATCCGTTACATATACATAGGTGCATATGTATAACATACATATATGTATTATTGTGTGGGTAAAAAGTAGATGATAAGAGATCAGACAGGATGTTTTTATACTTGAGTTTTATTGCTTTAAAATTTTAAAGAAATTTGTAGAAATTTATTAATGAAAAGAAAACCAAATTGTATAATAAACGAATGGTAACTCAGAAGTGCCAAATATGAGTTTCAGGAAACAGTAAGTATAATTGTTCGTCGTGCAAGCTGTAGTTTATTAAGCTTTAAACAAACAAACTTAGAAAAAATGTTGAATATATCACACTCGCTGTCCTCGACGACGGTCAGCGTTCAACAAACTCTTAATTTTAAGTAGTATATACCTCTGTATATATGTATAGTATGTATGTGAGTACTTAAGTAGGGGTCCGTGTTTAAGCGTTTGATGTAAATGTGGAAGTTSTTAGGTGACGACAGTTTAATATCTATAAGCTCGTAAGACCATAATTCTCAAGTGCATAATTAGTATATGAAATGAATGTGCATACACCTAACTGTAATCTATATAGTCTAGACGTACATATACATACGAGTATGTAAACTTACAGGTATATTTAGTTAGTGTTCTCCCCCCACTCAGGTCTAGCTCTTATCCCGTGTATTGCATTCATATTTATACAATATTTTTAAGTTTTAATTTACACTCTCGTTTCCTACAATAAGCGAGTTCTCAACCTGTAGTTGCTAATCTGAACTTTAACTGAAACGAAATAAACGTCCAAAAATCGATTATTTTTAAAATTGCCATTTTATTTGGTTTAAAAAGTGTTTGGTAAGTAAATTCACCCTTTGATAACAGTTCTAGATTTGCAAATTAAATTATATTCGCACCCAAAATAGACGACTTTATTATACTCCTGCAACATGTTGCTACAGAGTATTTTATTTCTGTTGACTTAACTCGAGACAGTTAGGGATCTTTTCAAACCTGTTATATAATATATAAATGATCAGGATGACGAGGCTAGTTGAAACCGAAGTGACTGTCTGTATGTTCGATAAACTACTACTTGTACTACTGGTACCCAAAGGCGGCCGGTATTGGAGATTGGCGTAATCGAACTACCTTCACGCCCATAAAATGGCATTATACAAAAACTTTTAATGCTCCATAACAATTATGATGCAAACTGTAATTTGGTATACAGTATTGCAGTAGCTAGACACCTAATTTGTTTTTTTAAGTGGGTGTGATCCGTCCTTAAACGGTTTAATCTTCTAAATAGCTACCGATATATCATCCAAACTTTCTGAAACGAAGTTATTTTAGCACCTCTTCAAAGTCTGTGAATAATGTGTTTCAATAATGATTACAAACATATAGTAACCACGGCCACTTCCCACATAACGGTTTTATTGGAAACTACTAAAGGTGTGATAACTCATTGAATAAATGCACCCCAAACAAATCTCACGACCAMATTGGTGGGAAAGACCAATGGACAATGAGAACGGCACCTCCCAACTTCAGGTGAAATCCAATGCCTTAGGAACTACTTGAGCGATTTCAATCCAATTTGGTTGGTGAGGTTACCTAAGCATTTCTATTATACATTGTGGAAATAGGCGAAACTTCTGAATTTCACTTCACTTCACATGTGTACAAATCAAATACCAACGAAGCTTTCAGAAAAAAAAAAAAAAAAATTACACAAATAGTGTCCTCAAGGTTCTTCATGTTATGTCCAAAAATTGTCCAAATCGAACAATAACTTGTGCCAAAAATGCTTAAAACCGTGTCAAACTTTCCTTAGGCCCAAACTGACGGTTCCTTTTATACCCCATCTTTCTGTCAATATAATGGTGTTTCCAATAAGAGCGCTACAAAACTTTCGACAGTTTTCAAACATTAATCGGCCGATACTGCTGCAATTTTACGTTCGATATTCGAGTGAAGTTCACCACACGTCACTGACCAATTGATTGAGCCATTTCGTGAGATATCACCTTKGGAAAATTTTGTTTTCTATAAATCGATTGTGACATTTGATGTGTGGCTTGTGGCGCCGAATGTTGGAACCACATATAATCTAATTCCGTAATTTTTTCGGAATGCAATGGTGACTCTTGGAGTATGTACGAATGTACTTTCCCAGGAATAATGAATTTCGTTGATATCGTAAACCGTTTTTGTTTATTTAAAAAAAGATATTCTAGCGCTCTTTTGAAAACCCGCTCTTAAAGTTGAGGCCACTGATCGAATTTCTGTAGTAAATTTTAATCATTTAGACTCGTAGTTTTATCGAATATTTCATTTTTATGATAATATGGCAAACCTTACTGAAGAGAAATGTCAAAAGAGCGGGAAAAAATATGGCGATGTTTGCTGTCTACCTTATCARTCTACTTCTGTAGTGGCCTATGGAAAACCAATACATAAGTGTCTTAACGGTATCCAGGAAAATTGTTTTCAAATAACAGTGTACTATTGCCTTAAMAGCATACTTTCCATAGTAGAATATAAATACAATATAATGCCAATACTTAGAGGTGTTTTTCAGGCTTTGATCCTAGAAAGTTGCGAGAGTATACAATTTTCGGTTACATCCGTACTTAGCACTTCTTGTTCTTGTATTCGTTTTAATAGGTTTTAAAACATTTCAAACACAACAAGTACTTTTTAAACCCCTATTATTGCTGTTTTATTTAATTGTGGAAAGGAACAAGAGAAGAAAGTGGTGATTACACTTGGCAGGATATTAAAGTTCTGTTGAGAAACATTCTCAAAGGATCTATCGAATGGAGACAGCAGTAAGGAGTTTTGTATGTTGACAACCATAGATGTTCTGACTGACCCCTCCACGACATTTATATTAAATGAAGAATTTAAACAAGACAATAGAATGAAAAAAATTACTTCGACTAATTGGAAATATTGCGAAAAGGAGAACTGAAACTCACTGAAGCTATTCTACGAAATAGTTGCTATTGCGAGAGTTTACGAAATATTTGCTTTGCATACCATAATGGGGTTTAGCTTTGCGGATGGCTRCTAAAGTCAGTTTACTTCAAAACGATTGAATGCAATATTAAAACAAGAAAAAACGCTTACTTCGGCTGAACCGAACCTARTATACCCTTAACAGGTGCATTTCTTTTAGTAACTATGTGCTCAGTTTGTATGGAAGCTATATGCTATAGTAATCCGATCTGAACAATTTTTTCGGAGATTATATTATTACCTTAAGTGGATTACTGTGCAGCAAAAAACGCACACCATCAAACACAAGGRAGGTTCGTCGTCGAGAAGCTGCAATCACAACAGACAGCCGAACAATTTTCTACTCGGCTTGCACTCCTGCTCTCTGAGAGCACTCGTCAACAACTCGGTATTAGGGAACTGTGNAGAAGCTGCAATCACAACAGACAGCCGAACAATTTTCTACTCGGCTTGCACTCCTGCTCTCTGAGAGCACTCGTCAACAACTCGGTATTAGGGAACTGTGKKACGGCATTTCAAACTCCTTACGTGCAGCTGCAACCGAAACCATTGCTTTTCGGAAAGTGCAAAAGAACAGTTGGTACGACGAGGAGTGCCGTGTCGCAGCGGAGAGAAAACAGGCTCCCTACCTCGCAACGTTACGATCGACTACAACACGTGCCGGATGGGGTAGATATCGAGAGTTGAAGAGGGAAACGAGACGCATTTGCAGACAGAAAAAGAAAAACGTCGAAATGCGTGAGTACGAAGAGATTGATAAGCTGGCCGACAGGGGTAATGCTCAAAAATTCTACGAAAAAATGCTTCTCCAGCCTGCTAAATGGCAGTGAACGCACAACGCCCAATCGATGACGATGGAGCAGACGTTCCATTGCCCGACCAGGAAGAAGTTCGAATAGCAATGACCCGCATGAAGAACAACAAAGCGACGGGGGAGGATGGATTGCCAGCCAAGCTATTCAAGCACGGCGGCGAAGAACTGATAAGGAGAATGCATCAGCTTCTTTGTAAAATATGGTCGRACGAAAGCATGCCCAACGATTGGAACTTAAGTGTGCTATGCCCAATCCTGAAAACAGGAGACCCCACAATCTGCGCCAAMTACCGTGGGATAAGCCTCCTCAATATCGCATATAAGGTTCTATCGAGCGTATTGTGTCAAAGATTGAAGCCCACCATCAACAAACTGATTGGACCTTATCAGTGTGGCTTCAAACCTGGAAAATCAACAACCGACCAGATATTCACCAAGCGCCAAATCTTGGAAAAGACCCTTGAAAGGAGAGTCGACACTCACCACCTCTTCGTCGATTTCAAAGCTGCTTTCGACAGCACGAAAAGGAGTTGCCTTTATGCCGCGAGGTCTGAATTTGGTATCCCCTGCACTCGCGACTTGGCACTCACATCATTGTTGACAGTCATAACTTTGAAGTTGTAGATAATTTCGTCTATCTTGG